TACGTGGCCTTGGAGTTTGGCTTTTTTCACTTAACATAATGCTTTTGAGATTCATCCATATTGTTGCATATGTTATTCATTTATCTCTTGTTATTGCTGAGTAGTATCTCATTGTAAGGCTGTTTCACAATTTGTTTATGCTTTCACAATTGATGAACATTTGGGTTATTTCCAGGTTTTGGCAATTAAGAATACAGCTGCTATAAACATTAGCTTTGAGGTGTTTCTCTGAACGTTTTCATTTTAATCGAAATACTCAAGAGTGAGATTGCTGATCAAATGGATCACAGATCTAAATGTAAAACTTAAACCTATTAAACTTCATTTTCCAATAGAACTTTCTGTAATGATGGAAATGTTTTATTATTCTGCTTTTTAAATTTTATATTGCTGTTCAGTACAGTACCCAGTAGCCACATGTGGCTAATGCAAATTTGAAATGTGACTAATGTCACTAAGGAACTGAATTTTTAATTTACTTTAATTAGATTCTAATTAATTTAAATTTAAGTACTACGTTTGACTAGTGGCTATCATATTAGAAAATGCACTTTTAGAAGAAAACATAGAAGGAAATCTTTAGACAAAAAATCAAATCACAAGCCATAAAAGAAGTTGTAGATTAGACTTCATCAAAATTAAAAATCTGCTTTTTAAAAGATGCTCATGAGAAAATGAAAAGATGAGCCACAGACATAACATATTTTCAAAACACATATCTGATAAGAACTCTCACAAATCAATAATAAGAAAACAAACAACCCAATTTTTAAAAGTAGGTAAAATATTTAAACAGACACATCACCAAACAGATTTAGATAGCAAATAAGCACATAAAAATATGCTCAAGGTAGGTATTCACTACAGAAGTGTAAATTAACACTACAATGAGATGTCACCATATACATGTTAGAATGCCTTTGAAAATACTGATAATGTCATATTGCTGGAAGAAATACAAAATGTTTAGACATTTGAAAAAAAATTCAGATCTCTTATTAATTGGAGATTAATTGGAGATTTTATCAATTATATTTCCAAGGAAACTTTATAAACATCAGCCAGTGATTATTTAACACCAAGGAAAAAGTGCCTCGGTTTGCTCAGTACTCAGCTTTTCCCCTAATTTTAACACTCTTTGCTCTATGGATCAACATTCTGTGCCCCTTGCATGCACTGAAATAAAGAATGGGTGTTTTATTTGCTCTTTTTGATGAGAAATATAATATCTAGTTTTTGATTCCAGCTGAAAACAGATCACTTTTCCATTGGGCAAGAACAAGGATGGAATGACTTTCTCATATAACACCATGTTACACCTTCCCAGGTTGCAGCAGCTGTTTATAATAACTTTCCACCCACTGGTAGGTAAACAATGGCAGTACCTCTCAAACTTTAAAAGTCAGAGGAATCACCTAGGGATCTTCTTAAAATGCAGATTCTGATGGAGAATTCCAGGGTGGGGCCTGAGATTCTGCACTTCTAACAAGCATCCAGGCGTTGCAGCAAAATTCAGAATCTGATTAATATTTGTTTGATACCTTACCAAGAGGATTGACATACTGTCTCTTTTTCAAAGAGGTTAATGAAATAGTACAAGGATAAGGGGGTCAATAGTTGGAAATAATAACTCGGATATTCTTTCAAAACGAAATCTATAAGGTGTTTCCATAAACTAGTTCTGGAAAGTAGTAAATTAATGGCAACTGCTTATTGTGTTTTACTGTCTTCTGAGCACTGTGTTAAATATACCACATACCTCATTTCACTTATTCCTCACAACAATCCAGTAAAAATGGGCACGATTAGCCTCATCTTAAAAGTCAAATATCTGAGGCTCAAAATGGTAAAACAGAAGTGATGGAGACTGGATTCTTAAGCCCTGTAGAATTACCTGCAATACACTTATATACGCACTCCAGTGATTATCACAAACTGGGTGAAGCAAGTGATCAAATATGTTTATAAAATAAATATATACCAAATATATAATAAAAAATGGACAAATGCCTGTTGGATTAAACTTAAACCACAAGCACCTTTTCTGTTTGTTTCCTGAGGATAATTTTTGTCCTTACTAGTCTAGTGGAGTGTGGTGATTAGGGGTGATTGCCTTGACATCTCATCAGATCACATTAAGCTTGAAGACTCTGATGGAGGGTTATTAAAAAATACTTTATGCTTCTAGGGAGAATGTGAACTTTTACATTAGATATTGGAGTCCGAAAAAATAAAAGCAAAGGTTAAATTTTAGCGTTTAAAGTTTTAGATACAGGGCAAAAGATAAAACAGAATATATTTGATGGAAGAACTTTATTTCATCTGTGTACATTCTTGCTGAAATTGTTAGTTTTTATCCATAGCTTTAATTGAAGGCCTAGCTAGTATTTGGTTCATAATTGATAAATGGATGGATGGATGGATGGATGGAGATTAAGCTAGGGGTGGCCAAATATGTCTAATTTCAGTGGAGAGAAAACTTAATCAAATAAACAGATACATTTGAAATCTTGACTGGGATACCTGCTGTGGTGCTGAAAGAGCCTGTATCGGGCACAAAAGGCCTTCACTTAATGGCGGAGAGAGCGGGGAACTGGGATCAGAGAAAGCTTCCTTGAGGAAGTGACAATTGAGTTGAGACTGGAAAAGATGCGAAGAATTACTATGGAGGAAATGGAAAAAAGTACCTTTCAGGAAGAGGGAACAGTCTTTGTTTTGGAAGGACAATAGCATCAAAAAATTAAGTTGGAGTTGCTTGAAAGGTGGAAAGGATGGTGACTGATGATTCAAGAAGAGGAAATAGCCTGACACTGGTGAGGAAGAGTCAGCTCTTCCAAGCCTGGAAGAAGGGATGGGTTTGAAGAATAGTGTGGTGGGAAGCTGTGGGTGGTGGACTCCTGGACCTTCATGGAATGCAATACCTTACAGGTGGCTCAACCTGTGGGTGGTAGCAGAAGGCTACATAACTGAGACTTCAGATCATGCAGGGTTGCAGTGAGGAGCACCGGGCCTCCCCCACTCTCTGCCCACCCCCCATGTCTGAATTAAAGAAAGGATTAACACTTGACTGTGAATATTGTAAGCACAAAAAGCAATGAAACAACACTTTAATGAGTGGCAGTGTATGTGGAGGCACCACCAGCTCGAATCCCAGCTATCCTATTCAATAGCGTTTTTGCCTGTGATGCAGGACTACGCAAATTTCCCCAAGTATGAGGAGGCGGAGAGACCAATCCCTGCATGGAGAGAAAAGGGTCCTTTGGCGGAAAGAAAGAAATCAACACACACGCCAAAGTTAGAGTAAACAGGAAAGTTTATTAGAAAAAGGGTAACACTCCACAAAGTATGGTCTCCTCTCAGAGGCAGAGAGGTACAGTGTTAATAGACTGTGAGAGAGAGAGAGAGAGTGAGTGTGTGTGTGTGTGTGTAAAGGCACTGAGAGGGACCTTGAGTGTTCAGAGAATTCAGTTTGTATATCATTCTTTAGTTCTTGTGAGTTATTGTTTAAAAGACTTTAACCCATTTCCTTTGATATGGAAATACAGTGAGGAAGGGGAAAAGCATGTAGCATGAAAAAGTAAGAATATGTAAAGTGAAAGACTTACTTGCTGGCAGTTCCCAGCCTCTAATTTATAGGTTCCCCATGACGTTAGCCATAGGGAATGACTCTTGGTTTGTTTCCTCTTCACAGGTGTGGAGCATGGGTTGTTAGCAATCCAGCAGAAATTTTTCTTTGTTCTGAAGGTGTGCTCAGGGCTGGCTGCAGGGCTGATCAACATATTGCAGTCTCTCACTGTGGGTTGATTAACATTTTAACTCTCTTGCTTCCTCCCTACATTACTTGGAGCAGTTACTTCACCTCTCTGGGCCTCAGTTTTCCTATCTTTAAAGTGAGGTTAACAAAATCTGTTTTATCAAGTGGTGGCGAAGACTTAAATTAATACACGTGAAGCTCACAACAGTATCTGGCACAAAGTGTGTGCTGTGTACTTTGGAGAACAATATCCAGATGTGAAGCACTTTTCCAATTTTCTGGTACAGTCTACAGGAGCAAGAAGAGCTCCAAAGTGGGCTGGATTTCCAGCCAAACTGTGGGAAGCAGTTGAAGTCTGAGCTGAGAAAACAAATGTTAACGTAACAATTTTTGCACCCAAGTTCTCAGACCAGTCTCCTTCTGGGTCCGCTAGCATGCCCGTAAGCAATTACATTCTAGGAAAAGTAATGCTGGTAGTAAACCCGAATTAAAGATTAAGGGAAATTTTTAAGGGAACTCACACACTGGAGCCATGTGGGCCACTGAATCCTAGAGGCCCTGAACCGGTTTCCTTTAGACACAGGGGGTAAGGATCTCAGCACCGGCTCTCAGGTTTGTGGGGCTAGTCTGGGAATCCAAGAAACCATCATTGGAAAGTTGATGTTTCAGGGAAAGCCCCAACATTTGAAATGCTGTCCTCAAGTTGTGAGACCCAGCTGTAGAATCAAGGAGGAAAGTCGGTGGTAATTCACGATATAGTTGAGAAGCTCAAAAAGACCAGGGAAGACTCCGCCCCTCTCTCGACTCTCAAAGAAAGATAAGCAAAGAAACAAAAATTAATAATGAACAAGACTAGGGAACAGCTCGGGGCCCGGTCTGGGTGTCCAGCAGGGGCCGCTGCAGCCCCGGCAGGTGGGCCGCTCTGCTCCGCCCCGTCCCATCGCCAGGGCCGCTCCGCTCCGCCCCGTCCCATCGCCACCCCGTCCCATCGCCACCCCGTCCCATCGCCACCCCGTCCCATCGCCACCCGTCCCATCGCCACCCCGTCCCGACCCCGCGCCTGGGCCACCGTTGCCGCCGTTCCCGCCTTCAGCAGGTGCGTCTCCCCCGCCGGGGTCTCAGCGGCCTTTCTCCCTCGCGTTCCGGGCCTTGGCAGAGCGCGCACTGCTGGAGGCAGCGAGCACAGCCGGGTGCCGACCTGGGGCGGGGTTAGGGGCGGGTCCCTGCGCGGCGCGCATGCGCAGCCCAGGCGCCTCTCCGCGCCTCGGGCCGCGGACGGTGGCGGAACGAGGCGGGAGTAGAGAAGGGGGAGGAGAGCCGGCCCGGCCTGTGCGGGAGGGCCGCACAGGCTCCCGCGTCTGGACCGCAGCGCGTGGGGAGGCCCGAGAGCCTGTATCTTCCGGGGCCTGCGCGGGGGCAGTTGCAGCCCGAGACACGAGGGAGGGGGCAGGAAACGAGGTCGGAAAGAAACGCGGCCGGAGCAGGTGGGCCGCCGTGAAGGGGAAGCCCCTGGAGGGCTCTGAGCTGAGTATCCCCGTGAAGTAGAGTCACTCTGGCTATTGGAGCAGTCCGGGTGACAGCTAATGGTGGCCTGGGCTTGGGTGGTGGCCGTGGGCGTGGGAGCAGGGGTCGGATTCAGGACGTAGTTTAGAGGTGTAGCCACCGGGACTGCTGACCAGCCTGGCTGTTGGGTGTGAGGTGTGAGAGAAAGGGAGAAACCAGGGCTAAAGGGGGTGGTGCCTTAAGGCTTTGTGGGTTGAAGGTATGGGGAAAGTTCCGGAGCTCAGACTTGGTTGTGTGAAGTGGGAGCCCTCTGTCGGAGGGGGTGTTCAGTCTGGATGAAGCCTTGGGAGGATGGGACATCAGAGAGCTAGGAGGAAAACCAGGAGAAGGTGGCGACTAGAAGCCAGGAGAAGCAAGTTTCCCAGAGAGAATCAAATGGGCCAGAAGCTGGACATGGTCCATGTTTAGCAAGGTGGAAATTGCGAGTGACCTTGACAAGAGCAGGTGGTAGAAGAGGGAGGGGAATGAGTCTGCCACTATTGATAGCTAGGAATTGGTGCATTGCATTAATTTAGCTTGTAGGTGTTCAAAAAATATTTATTGAACACTAGTGTAAGTTGTTGCAGTTCCTTTGCAACATACTTATGTATTTTAATGTTTTTTTGGTGAATATTTTTCTCTCGAATTCCTGATATAATCTTTCATTTATTGTATTTTTCAGAATTGGTAGGTTGCCTCTTTTCCCCAGGGAACATACAGTCATTTTTCTTTTATTTTCTAAATCGGTAAGCGAGTTTCATGTTTCACAAGAAAGCCTGGTTAAACGGAACTGCCATTCACCTAGAGTAGTGTCAGTGTTTAGGAATCTGTTCAGTATCTTTGAAAGCTTTAGATGACTATTTGATGAATTACTTTTCTCCCCTGAGGCATGTCTTCTCACCCCCAAAATAAAATCAAGGCAGAATAATTGGTGGCTTCACTCAGGGCAGTTTTCACCCCTGAGGGCTTCTGGACTAGATAACTCAGTTCTCTTTCCTCCAGCTCTGGCACTGTGGAGACATCTCTCCTTGCAGCCCTTCCATAGGCTTGCTTTTGCACTTGAACAGGGTCAGAAGCTTGTGGAAAGGGGTACCACTGCCCACCCCGACCTTCCCCCAGCCCCCAGGAAAACAGGTAAATGTTGGCATAGACAGTGCTTCCAATAAATACTTTGTGGTACCATCTTTAAAATAGGCTTACATTCTGAGCATTTCCAATCTTGGAAATAAATTTCAGGTGGCACCGGCCAAAACTGTGAACGTTTTGTTTTCAATCTATTTTTCTTATTTACTAGAGACTTGCAGAAAATCTTGTAAATTAATGGAAAATCTAGCAAAACAATTCCCATATTCATTTTAAAAAACATGAAATATTGACTAATAAAACAGGCAGTCGACTGGGTTTTGTAACCCATGGGACCAAAATTTTCTCACTGATTCGTTATTTCAAGTAGACATGAAAAATTTAGATTCCACTAATAAATTGGTATGATAAAAGATTTGAAATAAAAAATACATGTTTAGAAAGAGCATTTTAATTGGATATAATTCATGAGTGTGTATACATGCATATATGTAAACTACATCTGTATGTCATTAGACATTATAATTTACATAAGATGAGAACTAAAGCTGTCCTCCCCCAAAATACCTGCTGATTGCATTGCCTGGGCTGAGTCTAGGAACTAGTGACTTTTTGAGAATGTTGAAACATGAGCAAATAAAACTTTTCCATTTAATTATTTTGAGTTCATTTTTATGGTGAAAGTAATTATTATTACTCAATAATGAAAATGAATAGAAAAACTTAGATAAAAATTAGTAATATTTTACCCAATAATACAAGTCCTAATCTTGTTACTTCTATGATTAAAAAATCCTTAATCTCAAAATTTTGACAACGCTTGATAATTAGCAACAAATACAACACTCATGTTCAGAATAGAAGATTTGCCTTCATTTCACAGCTATCCAGCAGAAGACTCATCCTTTAGATCCGCATAGTCAACTGCTTTATGTTGATTCCTCTGTCAGCGTAAGAATGTGCAAACCTGTAGAGAATTTTTATTAGAATTTACTTGAGCCAAAGCTGACCACATTGCTAGGAAGCAAGATCTCAAATCCTCTAGTGAGTGAGTTTTGCGGTTTCTTTTATGAATTCGAAATTAAGGGAACTTAAGATTACATGAACAAGATTACGTGTTCTCTAGAGGGTGGTTATGCTTATTTCAAAGGTGTGTTAACCTAGATGCTTGCTTAAGGCAAAGATAAATTTTTTACTAAAAAGTTATATGCCTAGGACGTGACTACCCACCATAACCTGCCCAGTGAGAATTTATCAGATCTCCCTGTGAGGTTACTTTCCTAGAACTCCTTCTTTTGCCATAATTCTGTTGATTAGATTTTAAATCCTTAAATTCTTTTAAATTCTTAATGACTTAAAATCCTATTTTCACATCTGAGAGAAAATATGACACTTTATGCAGGAGTTATACAGAATTTTTCGACAATAACACGAAAGA